TCGTCATTTTACTGTCGGTACAGTCCCATGCATCGTCATTTTACTGTCTCTACAGTCCCAAGCAAAGTCATGATACGGACGGTACAGAACCATGCAGCGTCATTTTACTGTCGGTACAGTCCCATGCATCGTCATTTTACTGTCGGTACAGTCCCATGCATCGTCATTTTACTGTCGGTACAGTCCCATGCATCGTCATTTTACTGTCGGTACAGTCCCATGCATCGTCATTTTACTGTCGGTACAGTCCCATGCATCGTCATTTTACTGTCGGTACAGTCCCATGCATCGTCATTTTACTGTCGGTACAGTCCCATGCATCGTCATTTTACTGTCGGTACAGTCCCCTGCATCGTCATTTTACTGTCGGTACAGTCCCATGCATCGTCATTTTACTGTCGGTACAGTCCCATGCATCGTCATTTTACTGTCGGTACAGTCCCATCATCATTTTACTGTCGGTACAGTCCCGTGCATCGTCATTTAACTGTCGGTACAGTCCCGTGCATCGTCATTTTACTGTCGGTACAGTCCCGTGTATCGTCATTTTACTGTCGGTACAGTCCCATGCATCGTCATTTTACTGTCGGTACAGTCCCATGCATCGTCATTTTACTGTCGGTACAGTCCCATGCATCGTCATTTTACTGTCGGTACAGTCCCATGCATCGTCATTTTACTGTCGGTACAGTCCCATGCATCGTCATTTTACTGTCGGTACAGTCCCATGCATCGTCATTTTACTGTCGGTACAGTCCCATGCATCGTCATTTTACTGTCGGTACAGTCCCATGCATCGTCATTTTACTGTCGGTACAGTCCCATGCATCGTCATTTTACTGTCGGTACAGTGCCATGTATCATCATTTTACTGTCAGTACAGTCCCATGCATCGTCATTTTACTGTCGGTACAGTCCCATGCATCGTCATTTTACTGTCGGTACAGTCCCATGCATCGTCATTTTACTGTCGGTACAGTCCCATGTATCATCATTTTACATGTTGATAATTGTTAACTGTTGAATCTCATTAACCTTGTGCTCATTGTTCTCCATAGCTAACAAATATCTTTGACAATTATTTGATGCCATCATCTTAAAATGTTACCAACGCATGTCTGTCTGTCCATCCAATTCCATCTCATTCCAAAATCTATGTCATATCTCAGGAGCCTTTCAACAGATTTGGTTTATAGCATCATAACATCATGTTAAATACCTGATCAGATTCAGGTGTGCACAGAAAGCAAACATTATATAAGGCATTCATGTTATAGACATTGTCTAGGTTTTAGCTCACCTGGCCCAATGGACCAAATGTTTTAATATTTAGCTGGTATATCCCCAGGATGAAGCCCGACAAAGTTTGCGAAATAATTGACCTTGACTAATATTCAAGGTCACAGGGATCAAATTTGTTAAAACATTTATATGATTTCTTCTCGTGAACTAAAAGGCCTAGAGGCATGATATTTGGTCGATATATATATATATATATACCAGGTGAGTGCTGCAGGCCCATTGGGCCTCTTGTTATAATGATTTCATATGTTACTGTGTATACTTTTGGCTAAAAATGGAGAGAGATATTGACAAATCCATCTGTTCTATTGTTTCTCTGGACAGATTAGAGATGTATCATCAATTTTTTGGAAACAATTTTTAGGTATTGCTGACTGCATTGATTTAGCAGCTGCAAGTCTGTTCTCTTTAATGTCAATATTTGCCAGTTTTCACCTTTGTTACCTAAATTTATTTGGTTGATTCTTAAAAAAAAACATTACTATTCATGTTTCGTTTGAAGCATTTTTTTTTTGGCATCTATTTCAGCCATGCAATGAATATTGATGATAGATTTTTCTTCTTGAATTCAGATAAAATATTATTAATGGCTTTACTTTTTTCAGATATCCAGTATGATTTTGATTTTGTCCTTCAAAATCCAAGGGTCTGTGAAACCGTGAACACTAAAGCTTTCTTTACATTGAACTCTACCTCCCTGTCCATATCAGTGTGGTTCCGATTTTCTGAACGCTCGGAGGGTGACAAAAACATTGTCTCTGTCTATGGACTTTGGTAAGTGGTCTTTCCGTGGCGTTTGGATGGGAGGTAATCGGTAAACATATTTAAGAATTCATGTCATAATCAAGTGGATTTTCCAATGTTTCACTACTGAAATAACCATCTACTTATATAACTGAGAGATGAGTGAATAGTTTTGAAGTGAAGTTTTTCCTTGTTTTTATGGAAATACTACCTAAACAAGCATATATCCTCGCAGAAAAATACTAATTATCAAAAATGAAAAATGTGAGATCAGAAGATAGATATTTTTTTCTGGTGTTTTAGGGAACTGATCAATTTAATTGTTTGAGATATTTTACTGCTGTGTGTAGGGAATGGAATTATTTTGTTTGTTATCTTTAGGTTAAAGCTTGCAGCTTGAACCTTTTTTCAATGTTTTACAGGCCAAACAACACAAAATCACTGTTTAGTCAGTTTCTGATCAGGAGTCAGTCAGTCCTCACTCAGGTTGGTGATAGTGTGTCTGTCCATGGCATTAGTCAGGACCTGATGAATGGACAGTGGCACCACTTGGTGGTGACATGGAACAATGAGAAGGACCTGGAGGATGGCGGAGTAATCGGTCGTGTAACTTTGTATGTGGACAACATGAAACATGGAAACTCTGATTCTATTGGCTCCAATGTTAGGCTCCCTCCATTGTGAGTAACATCCATCATTTACTACCCTTACAGCCTAAGAAACTGAATTTTTATCAACACCACTTCGGTTCTTGTGAGATTGAAATGAGGCAGTTAAAAGAAAATAAACTATTAACCACTTAAGTCAGCTTAGTAATGAGAGATGTTTGGTGTTCTAGATTTACATTTTTTTTATTAAAATAAAAAAAATTGTGGATGGCATATGAGAAAATATATTTTCCCAATAAGTTTATACATATTGTATATAATAATCCAAAAGAGAAAAACAGATAGCGTCTGATTGGTTAGTTACAAGTTTTCCATCTCCTCGACCTTCCTGTTACTAGGCATTGTGACACTGATGAACATCTTCCTTATTGTAGGGGAATGCTGGTGATTGGAGGAACTTATGATGAATCAACCAATCAGATTGTTAGATCAAATGGCATTATTGGTCGAATTAGTCGGCTGTTTATAGTCAGAAAGGAGCTAGACGCAGCTGTACTGATAAATGACCTGTACTCTAAGAGAGGGTCATATATCCCAGTGGACACGGTTCATGATCCAGTAATTTACCATATTGAGCATGGTCCACTGACCATAGACTACAACAGTGAAGTAGCACCGGGTGGATGCCTTACCCAGGATTCTTGTCCTGGTAGATATCAAGGTAACTACTTATGGTCATGTGATCACATGACCACATCCTTGCTGTTTGATTGGTTAGGATGATTGGTAGACTGAATGACCACTTAAACAACATTGAGCAGCTTTACATGCAAAACTACCAAACTTGTTAATAAACCAACAAACGACTGCAATAATGTTTCGCTGTTCTGTAATAAGCCCACACTTTTGATGTGATCGGTACAGTAACAGGCAAATTAGAAATTTGTCATTTTATTTTTTTTTTGCAGCGGCCAATTATGTATCGGTCAAATATTGTCCCAAGGATCAGTATGTGACCTTCGATCGGAATAGATATACTGTCTGGACCACACAACAGTTTGACCGATCTGTTGTCACAACTATGAATATGTATCCAGGAGGTTAGTAGAGTCACAGAACTGTTAAAAAAAAAAATATGTAAATAAAGTAACTACTGCACTATGTTAAGTTTACATATTTGTCTTTCTGTTTCAATTTTTTTTCTACACTCACTTTATTAAGAAGGAACTTAAGTCAAAGAGGTGTACGCCATCTTGGTCTGTTTTTCCAGATCATCATTTCACTGTAACTGTTTACTATTTTATGTTAGTGTTAGTGTAAAGTGTAGAATGCTGTTTAAAGCTTCAATAACTATTTGTTACTACTTAGCTGTACAGCTGGACGTGGGTGTGTATGGTGTCTCTGCGGCAGGACTTGACAGGGATGGAAATGCTGCTATGTGTACATACAAAATCTTCATCAAACGTAAGTACGACATGCTTCAGTATTGTCTCAGTGTTTAAACGAACAGTTGTATAAAATATTCAACATTTCGAGTCTTTAACTTATGTTGTTGTTCTTTTTTCTGAAGTTAATAAATGGGAGGTGAGTTATTGTCTGAAGTCTTGGCCCCACACTCAACAATATACATAAAAAAAATTAAAAAATTTGCCTGTTGATAGGATAGGATTGCCACGATTAACTACCATCTTTATGAACCAATTTGCACATGACGACTGCCGAATCGTACTCGCACATAATGACTTCCGAATCGTATGATAGTTTATTAAAGTTTACTACTTACTTTACCTTAATAAGGTATACTTACTGAAGCCTTTTACTTTTAGGGTCAGATTGTAGATCCTTAAATCTTCCTAACCAACTCCAGGAAAACCCTGTTGGAGGCCAAAGGATATGTTCATCCAATGGAGCCAGCTGTAGGGTGACCTGTAATAACCCCAACCAACAGCCAATGAGAGCAGGCCCTGCCTTCTATAGCTGTTCCAAATATGGGCAATATGACAGGGATGACAGGCTAATTCCATTCATTTATCCATCCTGCGCTGGTAAGTATCATTTATACAAAAATATTAAAAAAAACTGAAATATTGATTCACAACTTTAGAGAAATCCAATTATACATTAAGTTTGTGTCAATTTTGTGTAAAAGTTTCACACATATATTTTATAATTTCAAAGTCAGAAATGAATGGTTTTTAAAGTTATTTCAGCCCAGTAATCCTGTGTTATATGGTAAATCAGGTTTGTTTTATCTTGTAAACATCCATGACATTTTAACTACTTTTAATTTTTAAACATACTCATTCCTCTTTGCCAGATGCTAAAGTACAAAGATTCAATGTGACCATGACATTGAACTTTGACCTTCCTGAGACCTGCGTTGACACACCTTCTTTGAAGGCAAAGTTGACTGCGTCTTTGAGCACTTTGAATTTTGTGTGGAGTAGGAGTTTGTGTGAGCAGTCAGATTGCAGCAATGAGGTTACTGATGTGGAGTGTCAGGATACCAGGAAGATTGGGGTGAATGTTCAGCTTCACCTTGTACCGTAAGTAACTCCTAAAAATATTCAGAGCATATTCCAAATGTGGTTTGGAGCCTCATTTTGATATTATTTTTGAAAATAAAAAAAAACTTTTATATTTTATTGAAATGGTTTTCAAATTCCAATGATTTGCTATATATGGAATGAAAGTATGCCTTTAGAGATGCAAATTTGGAATTGGCATAAAAAATTTGGCAGGATGAAATAAAACGGGAAGGGTGCCAGTACACAAGTACGAGACAGTATTGAGTTTGTGACTGAAACAGATCAATCCAGAACTGTCATCTGCAATCATATAATAAATATATTGAAATAATAATAACATTCCCAGGAATTTAATTAATTATACCTTTGAAAATGATTCACAATAATATCTTCTGGACTTTCGCGGTGACTTCGAAGCCATAATGGAAGCCTTTTGTATCCTTGGATTGATAGGCCATCGGGTCATAGGTCAAATTCTAGAATGGCTGCCATGCTTATTTACGATGTTAATGGCTTTGTGTAACTTACAAGAGGTAATATTGGGACTATAAGAATTTGGTCAGCATACAAGGGCCTTCGTTAATATTTAACAGTACAGACACTGATGGAGAAATTGTTAAGTAAACTGTATGTAATGTCAGGCCCTATATCTGTGTGTAGACAATCTGTGAAGGCACCCAAGCTAAATGAGTTCGATATTTGCTGTTTAACTTTTTTGAAATACGTCAATAAAATAAAGAATAATCTGTGTATAATTAATGTGCAAACTTATATTAAATGTTTCATTGACGATCTTGAGAAATTGCCTTCGTTGTCTGATTTATCAACAAACATTTTTGCTGCAACTCTGTATTTATTGTATAATACTATGAAGTTGTGATGTCACCATTGAAACATTTCGCAGCAAAGTCATCACAAGACTTATCATAATGTTGAAGATAAATAGAAAACAAATGTGTTAATAGCAGTAATTGTGTAAATGCCTTATACAAGCGATGAGTTTGGTATATTTTTTAGGGGAGATATAAAGAACTCCATCACAAATACAGCCTCCACACCTTCTGAACTACTAGCAGCAGCCATAGACAACAAGGAGTTGACCATACAAGTAAATGATAATTAGTTCATAACATATTAAGAGCTTATCTCTGATATCATCCAGATAGAGAATGTGATGAAATATATATTTATATCTCAATGATATATGTACCTAGGGTATGCTTATTAAGATACGAGATCAGGGACAGAATTCTATAATAATCGTGGTAGAAGTGAATAGTGTTGTGTATTTTATACTGTAGTGATTTTTTTGTTTATTTTGTCTGACAGGGATCTGTTGCCGACGTGATGTCACTAGATATCCTGATACAGGGGCCTTCCTGTCTGGACAGACACCAGGTGGTGGGAAACTACTGCGGTCAGTTATTTTTGAACGGAACAACTACATAATGATGTAACATTTATTATTGCAGTTAAATCAAGAATTTTAGGATCAGTTGTTCTAAGTACCAATATCACTCCACTGTTTTCATTTTTTCAGAATTCACATTTTATAAATTTTAAGTCAGAGAGGTATTTTTGCCGTGACTGGAGAATTTTGAGAATCTTTGCGTTATCAGGGTCATTCCTTCATTATTCAGTTTTGAATGTTATTAGGGATTTTTTCCTACAGTTGAATGTGGACAAGGGACATACTTTTCATTCCAATCCAAGACATGTGAGTTATGTGCCAAAGGTCATTATCAGAACCTGTGGGGACAGACCAGCTGTAAGTCGTGCCCTGACAACTCCCCAACGACCTGGGGTCAGGGGACAACCTCCATCTCTAACTGTTACAGTAAGTTTACAGACCAGCAGAAAGGTGTGTTCTCCTCATTTTGTGTTTAATGTATACAATAAAATCTGTATATTGTGTTAGAAGATAAATACACTAAAATCTGTTTATTGTGTTAGAAGATAGATATACTAAAATCTGTATATTGTGTTAGAAGATATATACACTTAAATCTGTATATTGTGTTAGATGTATACACTAAAATCTGTATATTGTGTTAGATGTATACACTAAAATCTGTATATTGTGTTAGAAGAGAGAGTTTCAGTTTTTGTGCTGGTTTACTACTTGTTGGTTAAGTGTCCCACAAATGTTATGTTGGACTGACTTCATTCCTGTTTACAGTTGAATGTACCAGCGGACATTACTATGACTACCGTGACGGTATAAAGACGTGCCTTGCCTGTCCGAGAGGTACCTACCAGCCACTTGATGGATCTTTCTACTGTCTAGAATGTGGTCTGGATCTGACAACTGCTTCCTCTGGTACAAAAGACAGCAAAGACTGCATTGGTATGTTGAAGAAATCTCTCTTGGCTTTAAATAGAACATATAGAAATAAACACTTGTGTGTTAAAACATAATTTGTCCCATTTATATATATATATATATTAAAGTTTTAAGTTCACCATAATAAGATGTTCTAATTACCCTTTGTATATTGTTCACTGTTGTCAGTTTTTAGGTCACCTGAGTCTGTTGTCGTGCGTTGTGCGTCGTGTGTTGTTAACTTTTCACATATTCGACTTCTTCTCAAGAACCACTGAATGGATTTTGACCGAACTTGGCACAAAGCATCCCCATGGGAAGGCACTTCAAGTTCGCAAAGAAAAAGGGTGTGGCTCCAATCGGGGCCCCAGGAGGGGGAAAAAGGGGGTAAAATTAGGTAAATCTTTAAAAATCTTCTTCGCATGAACCAACAGTCAGATTAACCACTGGGTTGACCATGTCTAAACTTGATACAAATGTTCTACACAAGGTCCTGGCGAGAGTTTTAACTTTTTGGGGCGATTCAAAATCCAAGATGGCCACCCTGGCCTCTGTTTGGCTTAGAAATTTTGGACTTCCTCTCAAGAACCACTGGGTGGATCATGTTCAAACTTGGTACAGATGTTTTATACACGGTACTGCACAAGTGTTGTTACATTTTTGCAACATTTTAAAATCCCCAGATTATTGACATATATTCCTCAGGTGACCGTTAAGGCCCCTTGGGCCTCTTGTTCTGTCCTATAACAGGTTTTGTTATCTGTTTATCTTGAGAAGCATGACATGGTTCATTTTCAAATTTCATTTGCAGTTGCCCTTCAATCCCTATGCATGCATAGTCTGTCCATCTGTCTTTCCATGAGAAATAAAATGTCTGGATATTTTCTAAACATATGACCAATTTCAAGGAAACTACACAAAAATGGTAGGAATCAAGTGCATGTGGGTTTTTTCACACGAAATTTTGGTTTTATGAAAACTTAGTCAAATGTTGTAACTTATCTTACCGCTGTAACATAGTTGGGGAGGAGCGTACTGGAATCAGCTCGTGCATCTGTCCATCCGTCCATATAACAAAAACTCAATTTTGTCTGGCTATGCATTTTGAGAAATAGCCATTTCCAGGTATCCAGTTGTCTTGAAATTTGGTTAACACCTTTCTGGAACATATAATAAACTTATAGTAAGAAACATTAGGTGTTGTTTCATAAACAATGTTTATGGTAATACAATCCTGGCCTCTTATTGGTCAAAATTTGAATATTATCTGATTTTGACCAAATTTGGTTTATAGGGGGCATCAGGCGATGTCAAACATAACTATATAGTTTTTTGTGTCATGACAACTATGTTGAGACAAATTGCGACTTCTTATGGGTTGAAATTTAGATTTTGTCTGATTTTTACTTAACTTTGTAAATAGAAGTATTAGGGAATGTCAAAATTAATTTTCAACTATTTTTTTACTTTTTCATCAAGTTTTGACCAAATTTGGTATGTAGAGATCTGCAGGAGCTATTAGTTATCCTTAAACTGAAAGTTATAGTTAAAGCCTAAATTGAGATATTGTCTAGTTATACTGAAAATAGATATATAAAGGTTTTGAAGAATGGCTATTACAATGTTACTACTTTAAAAACACCCACTGTCATTTGGTTGCAATTGTAACAAGGGAGACAATTACCATCAGTTCAAAGTTCAAAGTAAATAAATCATTTAAAATCAGACAGAATAATAATGGAAATTATGTAATGAATTATTAGGAAATGCATTACAATTAATTATGATGGAATGTGTTTTATTTAAAACGTCAGTTTCTTTAACATTTATAATTGGGTGATTGGATGGTACAGTTGTAACACGGTTGCCTTTCACCTAGCTGTCTGGGATTTGATTCCCTGAAGAATTTGAAAAGATGAAGGGTCACCTGTCCTGTCATGTTGGTTTTCCCGGGGTACTCTGGTTTTCCTGAGTACTCTGGTTTTTTTCCCGAGGGTTCTCTGGTTTTCCCCGGGTTCTCTGGTTTTCTCGGGTACTCTGGTTTTTCTCTGGGTTCTCTGGTTTTCCCCGGGTTCTCTGGTTTTCCCTGGGTACTCTGGTTTTCCCCGGGTACTCTGGTTTTCCCCCTACAGTAAGACATCTTATACACTTGAAATACATATAGGACAATAAGAGTGATTAGTATAAGTTGAAATAACTTGCTTTGTTATAAAAGAAATCAAATATAAAAAAACAATTAGAATTATAGATAAGACAGTTGGGGGAATACCTGTACCTGATGATTGTAATGATAATAATTTTTTGTGTAAAGAGTGTTGTCCTTTGCAGTTACATTGAAACATTCAAAATAATCCTGTCACAATTTTTCAGTATCATACAGATTGGATTTTGAAACAAATGATAAGACATTTTCTTCAATAAGATGATCGTTTGGACAGCAAAACAAACAAATTACATTGTAACATTTAGGGATCTATTAAATGTGTCTTCCTTTATCTCCTGTGACACTACACGTTGATCTTAGTGTTTGTGTGGACTCGACAACAACTGTTTACGTTAAACACTATTACACAAAAGGTTTATACCTGTATAGGTATAGTTCAATGCTGCCTTTGTAACAGATTACAAAGTAGCGATAGACCCTAATTAAATGTCTATTTCACCTTGTTATTATAGAATTACCTGTACAGGTAACTCGGCTACTGACTTGGGCCGGAGTGGTCTTATGTATAGCTGGCTTGTCAAAAAATCAACTAACTTCAGCTTTTCTACTGATTCAAGTTGTCTTCCCTTTAGTTTTGGGGTTATCTATTCTTTCTGAATTCATGTTGAAATCTGATATGATCTATTTTTTAATATTTAATTATTTTATTGTTGTGTTCTTTTTTTATATTTAATATTTTCATTTACAGAATGAACATGTACGTCATTTGGTAAAGAATAGTTGTACCCAGCTACACATTTGCATTGTTGTAACCAACTTTCATTTACTGAAGAAATTGAATACAAAAGAAATACCTTTGAGAAGGTAGAAAAGAATTTCCTAAAATAACTTGGCCTAGACATACAAATAAAAAATATAGTGTCATCTTCAAATCCATAATTATACTGAAAATTCCTCTGGGAATACAGTCAGGGATTAAGTAAACAAAGAAAACAGAAAAAAATGCAAAAACAGCTGTAGATTCTCAGTGTAAATGAAATATCTAGAATTCCACTAGAAACCGTGTTGACCATACTGAAATACCATTTGTGCTGATAATGACTTTAAGCGGGTATATCCCTATTTAAATATCCTGTTCATCGATCACTTATTGAAGCAACCACGCATGATTGGTTTAACCTTTAACCCCACCTGACGACTGTCACCGTTGGTGTATTACCAGTGCTATACCTACCTGTGTATATGGGGAATGACAGACCTGTGTTCTTTAAATAGTAGTCTCTGTTTACACGCGTTATGTGGACAGGGTACTGTGTACAAGCCTGGGGATTATTGGAAATATTCCGTTGTCATAACGCACTGAATTAATGGTGAGTTATCCCACTGCTACTAGCTTTATTGATTTGATTTTTAAAATGTTATTTAATGTGCCATTATAGTACATCATAAAATCAGTGTCCTGGCATATGTGTATGTTTGTATCGTCATGGTAACTATATGACAGGAATCGTGTACACTGTGTCACGTGTGTAGACTATTATTCTAAGGTAAACTGTTTGTTACTTATCCAGATACAATGTATTTGATGACTACGTAGGTAGAGATTTGTCTTGGGTCTGGATAATCATAGAATGATGTTCCAACAATATGGTGGTACCTAGAAATACATGGATTCTACTTTGATGTTACAAAAAACATGAAATTTAATACTTTATATATATAAACAATTGGGGTATCCTGACAAGGTGTGATGTAGGTGTATTTGATCTGTATTCAGGAACCACTAGACACAACATATCCTTAAAAAAATGGTACACTATTAAGCTAAATACAAGAGTGGTGAAATATCACAGGTATTATATAGGTATCACAGGTATTATATAGGCATCACAGGTATTATACAGGTACCACAGGTATTATATAGGTATCACAGGTATTATACAGGTACCACAGGTATTATACAGGTACCACAGGTATTTTATAGGTATCACAGGTATTTTATAGGTATCACAGGTATTTTATAGGTATCGCAGGTATTATATAGGTATCACAGATATTATACAGGTACCACAGGTATTATATAGGTATCACAGGTATTATACAGGTACCACAGGTATTATACAGGTACCACAGGTATTTTATAGGTATCACAGGTATTTTATAGGTATCACAGGTATTTTATAGGTATCACAGGTATTATATAGGTATCATAGGTATTATATAGATATCACAGGTATTACACAGGTACCACAGGTATTATATAGGTATTACAGGTATCACAGGTATTTTATAGGTATCACAGGTATTATATAGGTATCATAGGTATTATATAGATATCACAGGTATTATATAGGTATCACAGGTATTATATAGGTATCATAGGTATTATATAGATATCACAGGTATTATATAGGTATCACAGGTGTTATATAGATATCACAGGTATCACAGGTATTATACAGGTATCACAGGTATTATACAGGTATCACATGTATTATAGAGGCATCACAGGTATTATATAGGTATCACAGGTATTATATAGGTATCACATGTATTATATAGATATCACAGGTATTATATAGGTATCACAGGTGTTATATAGATATCACAGGTATCACAGGTATTATACAGGTATCACAGGTATTATATAGGTATCACAGGTATTATACAGGTATCACAGGTATTATATAGGTATCACAGGTATTATACAGGTATCACAGGTATTATACAGGTATCACATGTATTATATAGGCATCACAGGTATTATATAGGTATCACAGGTATTATATAGGTATCACATGTATTATATAGATATAAGAAACAAATTAAATTTGTCTTTATTTCTTTGACAATGTCAGGGAAGCTTTATTGAAAATTATCTGACAGCAACAATATCAACATTTCACTTCAAATTTTTGTGTAAAGATTCATTACTAAGTAAGTGAACATCCATTTTTTATCACTCATAATATGTAGACATAGTTAAGTCACATAGTGGACACAGCAAACATCCATCATTTTACAAGATATCCTTCAGATTTTACCGCCCAACATCTCGGAAAGTTAGGGATGTTATTAAGTAGAGCTAGCATTTAGCTCTGTTTCCCATAAGTACGAGTGCTATTCCAGTGAGACCTAGGGTATAGTTATATTGGTGTAGTATCTAAACAACCAAACAGATTCCTAGAATTTCACTTATCTAGTCACCATGGTAATATCTTTCAGGATTAAGTCAAGAATTCTGAATTACCATTCTTGATTGCTTGTAAATTTCAAACTGATAATGTGGTGGTGTTATACATCGTATAATGTAAATATATGATTGTGAACAGAATTATTACACAGTATCTTGTTTCATGAAATTAAAGACAAAATACTTCAAATGTAGAATGTAGTATTGACTTAGAACTAGAAGGCCAGCTCTGTTTAAACAGTCATGGAACAGTTGTCGAGGAAGCTGTGTACCTGTACAGGTGTGAACTTCTTACACTACAGCAGATATCGGTTATTAATTTTATATTTTACTGGCGATTCTTTTTATCATAAACTACTTTTCATTTCCTCATCGACTTGGACCCCTGAATGGTCCCATACACAATAAGAGATGTGTTATACACATGAAGTGTTGGCCGTGCTTTTGAAATAGATGATAGTAACACAACTATTGGAGAACTTCTTAGTTCTTGTGTTAGAAATGATAACAAAGGACTCTATATATTTGTAGTAATCTCCGACAAAGACTCAACACATTTACTTAATACTATAACCCCTGACTAAGAATAGAACTTCTAAGCCTGGTATGCTACAATACGTGATCGGGGCCTCACATTATATAGATGTGAAATCATGTTACATCTGTTTTATCACAAAAATCAAAGGTTCTGCTTTCGTCTAATTTTCAGAAATTCAATATTATAATGGTAGTGATTTTCTCTATAAAATTATATCAAATACTTAAAAGCAATTGTTAAGAGAAACGACAAAAATCTCAGAGATTGAGACTTAAAATTGAGGGAAACAATCTGGTTTAAAAATTATTGTTCTTGAAAGATATCACAAAACAGCTGGTACTCTTTTTTGTATGACAAAATTTACTTGGAACCCTGCCTGTAAAATCAAAGATTTCTTCAGCTTTCTACTTAGATAATCATAAAGAGTTAATAATATATATCTGACACTATCAGAAGTATTCTGTCTGTCAAAGGTATAGATATACCCTGTACATAGTACGACAACAATCGTACAATGTCACTCAGGATCTGTGGAAAGTTTGTGTATTTATGTCTCGTTTCTGAAAGTATGATATTGAATATGTGTATATTGCGTATGTTTTTCATGGCATAATCTCATATTGAATATCCTATCATTAATTCTGTTTGGCAGATATTAAATTGAAGGTAGAATTACATTTGCATTATGTGTTATACCTGTCGTATACAAGGTTAATATATTTGCTGTATGGCGGATACATACACAACTCATTAATCAAAAGCAGAAAATAACATGACAATTATTGACTTTTACTGCAGTGGATCGGAAACACTATCAACCAAATAGTTTCTTTTTTCCCTGCGTTAATCAAAATTAAAGATTAAAACCGGCCTTGTCAGTTTGATGACAATAACACATTCTTGACCTGTAGCTCAGCAACTATATGCTGCATATTTATTTGTTTGGCATTATATTGTATCTAGGAAAGATTAGGAAAGATTTTTATCACAATATATCGAGATCTTTCTAGGATTTTATATAAGGGTTACACTTTGTCCTTAACTGTCCCCTTTTGATTTTTGTACTGATCAGAAAAAAAGAAAATGATTTGACAGTTAAAATTATCATTCCATATTATATCCTAAGAGGAATTTTCAACTTTTATAAATTAAGGAATAAATACAAAGATGAGAAAATAAAAGGAAAAGATCCAACTTTGAGAGATTAAGTAAAGATCAAACAATGGTGGGTGCCAAGATCCCTGTGGGATCTCTTGTTACAATTAGACATGATTTAAGTGCATAATCTGAAAGGTTCCTTATTTACTTAATGTTGTGGTGTTTTTCAGATCTTGATCTGACATCTACTGAGGCAGACAACAACGAAGGCAACAACTTAGGTAAGATTGTAAAGACTACCAAACTCTCACACAAAACTGTCACTTCAAATATAACACCATTCATATGATAAAGTATAGTTGCCAACCAAAACACCCAAATGTAATGTCGGTGACCAAATAAGATTTTTTGCCTTATCAAGAAATTCAGATCTGTATTCCAGCTGAATTTTTCCTTTTTTGATAACTTGCTGTCTGTGAGAACCTGATTTTTACACCCTGTATTGTAAATAACTGATTGGATTCTAGGTCATGCCTCATTTAAATAACCTTGTGAATGGAGTTTCATGTTACACAGCATGCACACTGTGTAATAAATATTCATGTTTTCATAGTGAACATTGATGAGACTCAAATTTTGAATTAACAGCTGATAGAATGTTTGTGAATTAACAGCTGATAGAATGTTTGTGAACAAAGCTGATAGAATGTTTATGAATTGACAGCTGATAGAATGTTTGTGAACTGACAGCTGATGAATGTTTGTGAATTGACAGCTGAAAGAATGTTTGTGAATTGACAGCTGATAGAATGTTTGTGAATTGACAGCTGATAGAATGTTTGTGAACTGACAGCTGAAAGAATGTTTGTGAATTGACAGCTGATAGAATGTTTGTGAATTGACAGCTGATGGAATGTTTGTGAACTGACAGCTGATGGAATGTTTGTGAATTGACAGCTGATGGAATGTTTGTGAATTGACAGCTGATAGAATGTTTGTGAACTGACAGCTGAAAGAATGTTTGTGAATTGACAGCTGATAGAATGTTTGTGAATTGACAGCTGATAGAATGTTTGTGAATTGACAGCTGATAGAATGTTTGTGAACTGACAGCTGAAAGAATGTTTGTGAACTGACAGCTGATGGAATGTTTGTGAATTGACAGCTGAAAGAATGTTTGTGAATTGACAGCTGATAGAATGTTTGTGAATTGACAGCTGATAGAATGTTTGTGAACAAAGCTGATAGAATGTTTATGAATTGACAGCTGATAGAATGTTTGTGAATTGACAGCTGATAGAATGTTTGCGAATTGACAGCTGACAGAATGTTTGTGAATTGCACTTGCAATTTTGTGATAATGTCACCTATTCTGTGATGTTATAATGTCCACTACTCTGTTTCAGCATCAGGAAGAAGTATGGCAGCTGACGAGGGATTATCTGACGACATTGTCATTGTGATAGCCGTCCTCTGTTTCCTGATACTCATCGTCTTGGTCATCTTCATCTTAGTATGTCTTTGTAAAGAAAAAAGTAAGTGGGTTAAATATTGTAGGTACGTGTAACACTTGGTTTTGTACTAGACTAAGGTAACCAGGTATGGTTACTACACTACTACAGCATATTATTTTTAATTGTGCCTAAATTTTGTCAATGTTCTGTTAAAGCAACCTCTTCATTGTCCTTACATTGACTTCATGTCTGGTTTATTTTGAGGTCATAATTGACTTTTTCCAATAATTATGTTAAATTCAATTAAAAATCTGCTATGATTGACTTATGTAAGTACTGACCTATAACAAATATAACATCACTATCCACAGTTTAATACACAGATCATTGAAAGATGGATCTGTACAGATATTTTTAACTATAAGATTGTTGTTGCTACATTCGAGTCTGATCCAAGTTCTTTTACATGTATCTTGTGATCTTCTGTCAGATGTAGGCTGTTTTTCTTCTTCTCTCCTTGGCTAGTTTCGTGTATCTATATCCAAAACACCTACAATGTTAATTACCTTTGAAAGGAACCTTAATAATTGAAAATAAATCTATTGACTAGCTTTGTTGTACACCGTGTGAAACACGACTAAGAAACACATCGTTTACATGACTTTTTAAATTTTGTTTTATCTTTTCTTACAGTATCATTTTTGAACTATAACGATGTAGACCCAGATGAATTAACACAAAAAAGCCGATTTGGAGAGGCAAAAATTGACTTCATAACAAGACGACTCAACAAAGTACGGCATCAGAGGGGAGCTCAACCAATTAACGACAAACGTTACCAACGACAGAGTTATCATTACCATGACGACACGTCATATTATGAGGATGATCCAATGTCTCCCAGGCACTACCAACACCTTCCATCACAGTATGTGCGGTATCCAAGGGAAAATGAGAGTTATGCCGCCTCAATACATCTACGCAAGTATGAAGAATCCCTAACAGATGGACAGTAAGTAGTGAATGTGACCTTGACAGTAGTTGTTATCCATTTCAAATCTTTATAAAATCAATAACATATAAAAAGAAAATGTTTCAGATACACCTTACATTAAAATCTTGACACTCACGAAAATTTCAAACATATACTTTATTTATATTTTAAAGAGTATTTAAATTGTAAAATTATTTATCTTACAATAAACCTTTTTTTTAATAAGCCTATCTATACACATTGCTTTCAGTAAAATGCAAATAATCTAAGTTTTCATTGTCCTGAAGTAAATTAAATCCACTTCTTGATTTTAAATGAGAAATTAATACAAAGCTGTAGGTTGACCTTGTCTGCTTATTGCAGTTTAGACAAAGTATCATATGTAATTTGTTTACACTGTAAATGTTTGTATGTCCTCCCCATTTAAAGGCGCTGTGAACAGAGGAACATTATAGATTTTATGTTTTAAATAATTCAGTGACTTTGTAGCATTGATTTCTATGTCAGTGAAATTCCTTGAGAGCCTCTCAACAGAAATGGTTCATATTTTCCATTGTATCAATATACCCAAGTTCTACACCTGTATAGATCCTGATTTGCCTGTGAACAAGGGTAGAGATTCTTATAGTCTTACAGAGATTGTTTTTGAGAAAAACAAATTTCACTTTCTCATCCTCTATAACAAGTTTATCAGAAAAACAACAAAACGAAAAAAAAACTGGACTGATTTTGACATTATTTTCCCTAACAGCACCACAAAAAGAAGTAGAAGGCTTGCACCTCTGGATGGTTCAAGACCGGCTGAAGTTATCACCAAATCAAAATCTAAAAAGAAGAGGAAGAGTGGAAAGGAATCAAGGAAAAAAGTGAATAAGGAATTACATGGCGAGTCTGAGGCTCCCACGAAAACTCATGAGGTACCTCTTAACGTCCTTCCCGACAGCTCGGAACTAAAGGAATCTGGCTGGTCAGAAGGTAGAACCAAGAACAAAACTTCAACGCATGTTCAGCCAGAGATTAATCCTAATACCTTCAGTGATTCTGAGGCTAGTGATGTAGACATTGGTAGAATTGGTAGAAAAAGCAAGAAAACCTCACAGGCTTAAACTGTACTTTATATCTTGCATTAAATATCCAGCTTTTCATTTATAAAGGTTAGCTTGCACCTCTCTGACTTTTATCAAGGGTAAATATTGTTGAGGAAAAGAAGTTGAAATTGACTAATTTTCACTTAAGAGAATTTCAGAATTCATCTTCGATAAAATATATCAATGATTTTAGCATAATCTGGATTGTTTCCCTTTCATCCAGTACAGTTGTTGAACAGAGTTTAGAGCAACATGTTTCATGTTGGTTTCCAAATCTAAACTACTGAAATACATGGCTGTAAATTATGGGATGGATTATGGGTGCTTATGCACAAGTGATAAGGACAATTGTCTCGTGTCATCGTATTACGCTAATCTGTTTCGGTGGGGGTTTTTTAATGATAAAAGCTTGCTGAGTGTATTTTAAGTGACATAAAGGGCTCTCATGTATTATAGTGTTAATAATTTTACATGGAAAAACAGGGGACATAACTCTGCTTTAAATGGGGGTCCAATAATTGAATGTTATTTGGATTTTTGTTTTGTAAATTATTTTCCAGATGAGGTAGCTATATAGATATCAGTTCAAATTTATAGGCTTTAATTACTTGTATGAATGTTTTGATTTGATTGGTTAGTGACATTACACATTATAAACATCAGCTGAGGTCCATATCTGGATTTATTAACCATAGAAAATACAATATCAACCAAGTATATAGATTTACATATTTTCTAAGGTTATTGATAAATCATGGAGTTTAGACTATACCTAAGTCTATGGATGAATGATTTAATACAAGATAGTGGTTATGATGAATGAAAACTACTTTTTTGATGCATCAGGTTATTACATATTGTGTGAGAGATTTTTAGGGTGAGGTAGAGGTGATTATACTGTTCAATCATGTTAATGCCTTTCATGCTTTTGCTCTGTAGTGAAATCAGGGATAATTTAAACGGATTTTATCATGACTTGTAAAATCATTTACAAGTATATAGTTAATTGTGGTACTAATGATGATTTTTCACTTTTTTGTATCTAAATTTAGATATTTTTTTTTACTGTAAAAAAGGAATTGTAGACTTGGAGGAGTTTTGTCTTTGAATGAATGACGATATTTGTATGTAAACTTTTAGTATGGGAATTTAATTGGTAGTGTTTATACAATATGTGTACTAGTCCTGTTCAATGTGATCAACACAAATTAACCAAATTTTAATAGATTTATTTATTGTGCTCCGTATTTCATGAAAAATGAAGAAAGTGATTAAACGAACTGTACAGATTCCTAGTTTCAGATATTTACTATGCACATTGATCAATATCAACGAAGTGTTAATCAAAACGTCTATGATGCAAAAATATTTATTTTAATTATTGATACTTATTTTCCGCCTAAATTCAGGATATCATCATGACAAGCAACACTTTTCAAAACAAATTTAGTGTTGATTTTATTGTGTTATTTTGTCATAGTGAAGATCTTGGTTTTTTAAAAAGATTTTCAAGTTTAATTTAGCACAATATTATATATTTGTTATTCATTAAAAAAAAATTCAAAAAAATTATTTGATCTGTAATAAAAAATATGTTATGTGCCATATATAAGGGAATAATAGAAATGTTTCATGTTGAGTTGTGTATGGTTACGCATTGTGTACTAGTCTAGAAACATTATTGTTGGTATTCCTATGCAGTCTGTCTGTCTGTCTCATCGATTTCCATTGTGGTGATCATATATTATGTATTAACTGATATTCACTACTTATACTTGATATTTTCAAAGTCCTGTCATCCACGAAAATCATAAAGAAAATCAAATCAAATTTTTATAAAAATGTGAATATTCACCTGGAATATGAAATCTTTTTTAAGTAATCCTTATTTTTTGTGGAACATATGCCAGTTATCATGGAGTTTAGTTTATCATTACAGTGTTGATATTATCTCTTATGTGTGATAGACAACAAAACATTTGATATTCTTATATATCTTTCAATCTTAAGGAGATATCTTATATAACTGTCTTGTAAATCTCCATTTCAGAAGAGTTCTGTATCATTTGATATAGCATCTCTGAAATGATATTTGTCATTACAGCATATGTTTATAATAGGTAAAGGGAAATAACTCTTGTGAAAAATAATGTCCTAATACCATAATAGAACTATGAGAGTAAACTACAGAATTGTATTTTTACAGAAATGATCAGTTTATGAATATATATTTGTATTCAATATTGAAATTTTTTTGGTATATACAGGTCATTTTTTATATAGTTGTTTTTTTCATTTTTGTTGTTTGGATGTTTTCTTTTTTATAGATAATCACACAGTAGTAATTAAAAACTGGACACTATAACTAAACCAAAGTTGTGTTTGATAGCTACCATACAATCATTATGATTTGTATTAGTCTAATATGCTGTTTTTGCAGTAGCGACCTTGACCCTTGCCTCCCAAGGTTTCTAGTATAGCTATGGTATGTTTTAAATATTGATTGCTTTTTGTACTAGAACTTGTTTCGAAGATGTGTATTTTTACAAGATGAATTCTTATGTCCAAACTCCCTGTGATATATGTTAAGTACATTGCTGTGATATGACTATCAAAATCTATTACCAATTAATTCTTAATTTCCATATATATGTTGTAAATAAACTGAATATAGAACGTCCTCTCCTCCTTGTATGTTTAGGGACATAAAGGCTCACATGCCTTACACCCATAATAACTGTCCAGGATGATCACAAATTTGTAACAAGTAACAAGTGCCTTTGTTAGGCCTATTACTAGTATTCTACAATAGTTTTATACCCTATGCAGTGTTGAAACTTCTAGTATTTACATGTTAGCAATACACCAACTCTGACCCGCGTATAAAATGATGTCACTGAAGACTCCTTATTGTGATTAACAGTTCTCAGAGAATTTCTATATGTACGCGTGAAAAACAAGGTGTCAGAGAATGGCAGTAAAATGTAAGACTATTACAGAAAGTTCAAATTCATGGAATTTTACAAATGGAGGATATTACATGAATTTTCGTTCATAAGAAATTGTTGAATTGAACTTGAGAATTTTTCATTTTACAAAGCCTTTGGTGATCTGAAGTTAAAAATTTTAAGTAATTTTAAGTTAAGACCATGTTCTGTAAGAATAGCATCTGCTACTTCATACTTGTATCAATCATTTCGTTCTTTGTCATATTGAAATAATGTCAGGTTCTCCAAAATAGAACCAGGGTAGTTATGAGTGAACTACTAAGCATATCAACTAGTATTTAACTGTTTATTTGTATGTAAAACTTGGATGTGACAATGAAGACTTGCTAGCCTTGTTTCCATTAAAATCTAGAGAGAAAACTGGTGAACAGGTAGCTAAATAATACTAATGTTTTAGTGGGGCATTTGATGTCATGTGATGTTGGACCTTCCGATGTGCGAGATGTAAGTAGGTATAATTCACTGCTACAATATGTATTTTTTAATCCACATTACATGTTTTATTGTATTCACTAATAAATAAGACTTTATTTCCTGGGAAATTTTTTTTTTGCTGTTTAACATAAAGTTTGGGTTTTGTATAGAAATCAGTGTTAATCTGTCTATATTCATCTGTCAGCACTCTTCTTGCAGCACAGTTTCTCAGAAACTGTTCCGCAGATCTTTGTCATAATTTATGACCCAAATATTTGTTATTATGCAAAGATAGATGCTATTCTTATCAAAACATTTTGGTTGATGTGGTAACTTGTCACTACATACATATTTTCAGAAAATGTGATGATAAGTTCAGAACCCATTAGTGGGATTCATATATATCCAAACTCAATCTGATTGAAATACAGATTTTCACTGTACATGGCTTCTGAGGTAGAAATATGAAGATTTATATTATGAAATTTTTCAAACATTTATTGAATCAAAAGAAGTTACCATGACAACACAACAAAGATTTCTTATTGACTCAGATAACTGGTTATGCATAAATGTAGGGGATTGATTGGAAATGACTATTTCTTTTATTTATATTTTAAACCATTTCCTGTAGTAATGGTTAAAATCTTGTTCGTAAGTCCTTGACGATTTATATAGAGGTTCAACCAGTGTTTTCTCGCAAAACATGGCCATCAGTCGTTTTTGTATCCAGATATTAAAACATCAGAAATCAAATTGTTTTCAATGGTAACCATATCTCATCGTATTATACTGACAGTACTGACTGTTATATATATCAGAACATGTACTAACTGTTATATATATCACGACATTTACTAACTGTTATGTGTATCAGGACATGGGGATGCTTTTGCCTACTTAGTCATTATGACTCAACAACTTGATTTATCACTTAAACAGTATTTAATCTGCTTGATGTTTATAGGAATTTGTCATTCCTGGTGGAAAATAACAACAGGTTGATTTTACAAAGGTCAGGCGTTTCTGAGATTGACCAGGTAATATGCCCGATAGAAATTTCGGTCGCCGAAGACTCAATTTCAAGCATCCATTTCTTTGGTCAAAATAAGTTCACTTCAGGTTTTCTCCAGACGGAATTTGAATGTTTCGAGCAAGGTTTTGAGTCCCACCACTGTTGAAAAGATTTTTGTCGAAACGAATTTCTTATTCCGGAACCCAAATGTATTAAATCTCAGACTCTTGCCATCTTCATATGCCAAGGATGTACCATTCGATTTCCTTCGTATGTGACCTATAGAAGATCGAGGAGCATGGACTATAGATTGAAATATCCTTCACTTTAGTGTTTGTCTTTAATAAGCTTTTTGATATATAATATATATGTAGATAATTTAATATTTGACCTGTTGTGATCGGGGAATTTGGTATGGTAACAAATGACGATAAACAAACCTGTCCAGAGTGTGGAGTCGCTCTCTCGATTTCTTTTATTTCCTTTTTCGCAACTTTTCATACAAAAGAGTTCCAATGTATGTAATACTAAATGCTGAATCGTACCTAATCCAGTAAGCGATGGAGCGATAAGACCAAGCAATTATCTCCCATCTCTTGACCCATTACATATACACAACACTGTCTTGCCGCTTTTTTAATCGACTTGCCATGGT